AGTATATAATGACATTATACCTATATTATTTGTGGATTTCAAATATAGTGACTTGCATTGACTTTGAAGCTGTTGTAACCATTTCAAAAACTTGCTAATCGCGAAAATCTTTTCTTCAAATTTGTGCTACGGACTAAAAAAATTAACAATCCTAATCAGTAATCAAAGTCGGCTAAAATTTGTGCTTGGATATTTTTTATTCTTAGAAAAATAAAGTACGGTCTTACCTTCCAAGTTTATAAAGTTTATGTTTTGACTTTCTTTTCTTTTTTACTATAAAAGTTTATGTTTTGACTTTTTTTTTTTTTGGTGAACACTTGATTTTATATATATAAAAGCAAGGTTATATTTAAATTTGTAATACAAGAAACAAATTATAAATTTTGGATCAAATGCTCAAGATAATTAACTTTTTAAAATGCAATCACTAATATAGAATGTATCATTCAATGTTTTTGAACTCGGCCCAGTGGTTGGCCTGTTTTGACCACAGCGTCTGGATCAATCGGTTGAATCAGTTCATCGGATCGGTTCAATTGGTTAACTAAAAAATTTTTTTTTGGTATTTTTATTGAATTTTATTGTTGTAGGTTAGTTTTACTCTATTTTTAAGAAATAATCATCATAAAATCAACTTAAAAATCATTATTTAAGTAATTTAAAATAATAAATTTAATTAAATACATATAATTTTTAAAATTAAAATTAATAAATATTAAAATACATAATATAAGATCAATTCATTAAGCATGATAACAATAAAGAATTTAATCTTAAACTAAATTTACTACAAAATAAGTACTAAATATAAAAAAAAATCTCAAACCAAATCCATAAATCAACTACAAAATAAGTCTTGAATATATATAAAAAAATCTCAAACCAAATCCATAACAAAAACAAATATTAAATAGATAAAGTATCATTACTAATTCATTTAATTTTATCTAAATGAGGAGCATCTTCATCAAAATATACATGTAACTCTCGAAAGTCTTGCTCACTATCACTTTTTTCTTCAGAACCATCACCAATTGTTTCTAATTCAATTCCTTCACTACAACCACCAACTTCCTCCAACTTGCTCTTCCTCATTGCCTTGAAATTGAAATTGTAGAATTATACAACAAAAACAAATGTAACAAATAAGTTTCAGTTGTTTATTAACTAAATAATATAATAATATAATATATTAAAAATTAAATTAACTATCCCGAAGACGATCTGTTCTGTTTTGAGCCAATCAGATGAGGTAGATGGTGAAGATCGACGGAAGAGAAGAAGTGCAGTGACAGAGGAGAAGATCAGCGGACGATCGGTGGAAGAGAAATCGACGGACAATCGGCGAAGAGAAGATCAACGGAGTGGCGGACGATTGGCGGAAGACCCTTCTGCAGTTCTGTTGGTACTTGGTTCCTCCTGAATCTGGGTTTTGCAATTTGTTTCCAGACTTTCCAGTTTCCACTGTCCCAAGCTGCTGATGATTTTAGATTCTTAGGGTTTTTAGTTTTTAGTTTTTAGTTTTTACATACTTAATTAGTTTAATTGATTTTTAATTTAGGTTTTAAACTTTAATTTAAGTCAAAAGACAAAAACTTAAAATTAAAAAGATGGTGAAAAACTGAAAATTTCAGC